CCTCTAGTAATAATACCAGTAAGTTATCTTTAACGTGAATATAAATCTAATTTAACTTTACAAAAGCATTTATAGAACAATGACACAATAACTTACTTCCGGAAGCATTTAATAAAAGAAATATTTCAGGAAATCAATGAAGAGGACGGTGGAAAAGTATTTGAAGAATTGAAAACATTTGCTCCACCGTATTCAAGTCCTAATCATTTTGCTACTACAAACAATATAAGAGTGTATGTCACATCAGCTGGATTTCAAGAACAACAATCATCACGGCAGACAATTTTGAATTCTGAGATCCGGACGAATAGAGATGATTCAACGGTTGGAAGATATTACATTTCACCCGGTACATCACGGCTTACTCCATCATTGCATATGAAGCAGATACATCCGGAAAAGGACAGAAATCCTTCGATCGATTCAAATCAAGAAAACAATTTATGCGTTGCATTTGGTAATGAAACTTCAGGGAGCCACTACAGTGTACCAAGATGCGAAAGATGTAAGGTATAAATTATACGAGCTTTCCTTCAAACTTATCTTAACTTACTTTGAAACTGATGGAAATTATTCTGAAATCGATGCAAATTCAACATTCCGAATCCAGTTTTTCCTGTTTTTAATACACCTAATCCCTGCTACCTCACATTGTCATGAAATTTCTCAATAATTGTTAACTTTCAATATTAATTAGTCTGATGTCCTCAAGCCTGATATCCTCAAGTATTAAATGCTCTGATGTCCTCAAACATTTCAGCAAAATGGTGAGATTTTTAGAGTTCCTTCCGAAGAAGCAACCAGAAGAAAATTTCGTATAAATGTGACAATGAAGGCAATTATTCAGTGAATCTGAAGAACCGAATAAATGTCAATATTATTGGTTCTAGAAATGTCTTAGCATAGACATGCATTCGATACCAATACGTTCGGATCGCAAATGTAAAGTACAAATGATAAAACCAAATAAATGTCACATATCAGAGTACTAGAATAATGATTCTTTTTTTTAGGGAAAAGGAGACGATGAAAGAGATGTCAGAAATGAAAATACTGTAGACAACTAATGCCATCACTTAAGGCGCTTATCATTCTTGATCATTGATTACCAGGACGATTAATTGCATTGCAGATGAGTAGGACTGAATTTGAATAAAACTATTGCCATTTTAGTCATATATGACTGACACGGTAATAAGCATTGAGGTACGGTACTGAGCGATACGATATGCATTCTTTGCAATTGTAAAAAAGCAATAGAATTCAAGGGGATGGCGAACAATTGTGGCAAGGATTAATTTGTCAGTTATAGGATTTCGGAATCGTCTTCGGGATTTATGATAGAATGGAAGCATGACAGTAAATTTAATTTGATCGTTCTTTCTTGTCTCCAAACAGCGATGCTGTTGGAAAAATTGTTGTATTCTCATATAATTAATAATTAACGATAAGCTGGATTACTCGTGGTTTTCAGCACTTTCCAATAATGTCACTCTTTTCGGTATTTAAAGTAACTACGTGTCATGAAATCAACAGCATCCGCTAATGACGGTGGTGATACAATCAAGGAAGAAGAGATAGCTTTAGCCTCTTCCCAAACATCTTGTGCCAATCTAACATAATGTGTTTTTTGGTCTTAAATAATTTGTTGATAATGTGTTGCTTGATCGCAACAATCGAATTTTGCTAAGGAATAGTAAATTTTGCTGAAATTCATCAATTGCTTGCAAAGATTATGTGGAAGGTAATGACGGCGACTGTGTTGTAGTTTTTGCATGCAGCAAATTAGAAGGCAGTAGCAACCGTTGTGCCGCAATTTTCGCTTGCGGATTAGAAGGTGGCAGCAGCTGCTGTGGCATTACATTCCAATGCTGGATAGAACATAATGACAACCGTTGTGCCGCAGTGGTAACTTGCAGATTAGGGGTTAGTAGCAACTGCTGTGCTGTAACAAAATTCGTGTCTGAATAGCTACTCATATTAAATGAATGCTTCAACTGTAACATTTCCGTTGTTGATTCATTGCAGATATTCCATGGATCATCATCGGAAAGTTCTTTGGCACTGCTGGATGGATTACTTGTACTCGAGTATGTATCAGTCGAAAAGGGAGAAACCTGTTCGCTCGATACATTGTCCTCGCTTACAGTAATATCCCGATATGGAATACTACTGCTTACAACAGTATATGAAATTGGTGCAATGGAATAATAGACTGTAGTGGGTTCGAAGGAAATGTCAATGGTTGAAGCGGATAAGACTGTTAAAGTAGTAGCTGTTGGTATCAAAGGATGTGGTTCCATGAATTAAAGATAGTGGCGGAGTGCAATCTGTGGCTAATGAATAATACCGCGGGGTGGTTGCAAAATGCAGTTTAAATAATCTGAAAATCACGCTTGATGATTATTTAGAATAAAGATTCACGAAATTCTTTCGCAAAATTAAAACGAATTAGTACAGCAAATTCCCTTGCACATAAGAGTTGTAAGTAAATATCAGAATTACAATAAATTAGAAAAAATGTTTTTTAATAAAGAAAACGTTTATGGTTAGCAAAGTACTAAAAAGAATCTGAAATTTTGAATTTCAGAAAGAAAACTTTGGCTTTACAGAAAAGTTGATTGATTTTTTCCAATCACTTGAAAAAACTTAATATTTTCTACATCAAGTTTTTTGGAGTGCAAACTGAAAAATTTTGATACTTTTCTAGCAAAGAACTTGATAAGAAACATAGTATTTTCCAATCACTTAGTGCATCTCCACTCAATG